TGAGTTTGATTTGATTTGAATTTTTTTAAGAATTTTTTATTTTTTTCCCCGAGTCGTCATTTGCATTGTATTTTCTGCATACATATATATATATAATTTTTTTTTCACCTTTTGAGGGATTTGCAAACCGAATTACATGCATGTCCAGTGGGGGAAGGTTTAATTTTGACGATGGAGGGTCGTACTGTGGAGGCTGGGAGGACGGAAAGGCTCATGGCCACGGAATTTGTACCGGCCCGAAGGGTCAAGGTGAATATTCGGGCTCCTGGAGTCACGGCTTTGAGGTGTTGGGGGTCTACACTTGGCCCAGCGGCAACACTTACCAGGGCACCTGGGCGCAGGGCAAGCGCCATGGCATTGGCATGGAGAGCAAGGGGAAGGGGGTGTACAAAGGAGAGTGGACCCATGGATTTAAGGGACGCTATGGGGTCCGGGAATGCACTGGAAATGGGGCCAAGTACGAAGGCACCTGGAGCAATGGATTACAGGATGGCTACGGGACAGAGACCTACTCGGATGGAGGTAGGTGCTGCATTGATACCTTCCCAAATGGGGTGGGTGGCGATGTGGGGGTACAAACCTCTGAAAGGGGACCATGGATTTGGGATGGAGTCTGGGAGTTTGCAGCCTGCTGGCTTGGAGCGAGGGATGCTCGTACCCCGCAGGAGATGAGGAACCAGCCCACAGCGTGGCATCAGCCCAGCTCCTTGCCACAGGTAGCCCCATATGTCCAGCGGGTCGCTGGGTGCCGGGTCCTCCCTTACTGCTCTCCTCGACCCGGTTTTTTGGGGAGGGGAGCCAGCAGCACGGGTGGGGGGATGCTCAGCTCTCACCCAGGGGGGCTGGAGGATGGGGTGGGCCAAGGGAGTTGGGAGACGAGCCAAGTTGCACATGGGATTCGCAGTTCTGACTGCACCACTGGAACCTGTAGGATTGGCATCGAAGCAACGCAGGGCAGAGGGGACGCGAGCGTGGGGGGAGTCCAGGGCAGGTGGGTGCAGCTCTGGTGCTGCAGATGCTTCCAGCGAGGGCCTGGGGGCTTTGCGTGCCCTGCAGCCCCTCCAAATGCAGCCCTGCAAATAATAATACCAGGGGAAAAGACTAATTCAGGCAAGAGTCTTACATTCCTAGTTTACAGCTTAATGCTTAGCGTAGGGGCTCAGAGGGATCACCAAAGCTATTCTCTGCCATCAACATGGCTTAACGAGATGCGGAGGGGAAACTGGGATTAAATGAAAAATAAGAAAACCCAATTGGAGTGATCAAAAAAAAAATAAATTGCTGGACTAACAAGCTTTAAAGCCGAATTAGGAGAAACAGCTGGTGCTGTGCTGTAAGTGGCTGTATCATCCTCTCTCATGTTTTGTAGCTACTTCCATCTAAATTGCCACCATAATCCGAGGCAGGCCTACCTACCAGCTCTGGGGGCATTCAGCAGCACTGCCCCGTTATTTTGCTGGTGAATGTGTCCATCTAAAGCAGGCTTCTTTTTTTTTTTTTTCTTAAAAAAAAAAAAAGACAAGACATTATTGTTTTCCAGGACTGCTACGTTAAGGGAATTGCAGCGCTGATGGGCTCCATCGCAGCCTGCCTGAAAGGTGCTGCAAAGCCTTGCTCTAGAAAACCCAGTTTGCTGCTTTGTGATTATACAGGGAGGCAAGATCAAACCTTACCTGCAGCTGCTCTTTTTGTGCTTTTGAAGGGAGAGGTGCACCAATCTCTTGAATTTTTTTTAGTGATAATTTTATGCTGGTGGCTTTCTCCTAAAGGAAAAATATAGTTGCAACCTTTTGTTCCAGCTGCCTGGAATAATGCTGGGGTCTGAGCTGGAATCTGCCGAGTGTGTGTTTGCGAGCCATCGATAAATCCCAGCAGCCCTTCTGTTGAGAATAAAGCTTGGGCAGAGAATAATCGCAGCTCCCACGTTCAGAGCGGTCAGGAGGGGATATGGGGGGGGGAGGTTTCTGCATGCTCCCAACGCCGGTGCCATCGCCCTGCTCCCCTCCTGGCACCCAGCCCCTGCCGGGGAGGTTTGCGGGAGGCAGACACAAGTCTCGACAAACTCCAGGTCTCGGAGGGTTGGGTGTTGCAGGGCTGGCCCCGTCCCCGGGCACGCACGTGCCCCCACCCCGGCACGCTCCCCATCAACCGCAGCACGGCGGCTCTTTGGGGAACCTGGGGAGCATCTCCAAAATGAGGGTGGTTAGCAGCAGGTTCCCTGTTTCCGAGAACCTACCAGAAGCAGAGAGCTTTTTTCTTTCCATCTTGTCAGGCCAGCCCGGCTTCTCGGTGGATTAGGGGAGCAGAAGCTGTACTGCGTGTTTATGGTTTTGGGAGGAGGTGGGAGGATCGGTGGGAGAACAGGGCAGGGTCTGGAGCTAAATGCTCCTGCCAGGGACTCTGCAAACCATCCAAAGAGGAGGGGGCTGGGGACATGCAGAGCGATGGCACCTGTGGCCAAGCCCATCCTGCTGCCGGGCGCGGGAACGGGCCACACACACCCTGACCGGGCTCCTCCACACCAGCTTGTCCCAGTTTGGGTTGGGCACTCCCCACGGAGGGACCAAACCCACCCGAAATTGCACTTGCACCAACTCAGTTGCGAGTACCCAGAGGCCATGGCCCTTTCCCAGTTGCCTGTCTCCATTCTGGGTTGGAAAACACCAAAACTGGGTGTTTCCAATGTTTCGGACACCGAACCATAATGAACTTTGTGCATTTGGGTGCAAGAAGTTGGTGTGTGCAGGAGCTGGGCTGGGAGGGGGCTGCGGAGCGATGGCACCGGGGAGGCAACTGTAGGGAAGGATGTTTCTCATTAATCTATTCAAGTTATTACCTTCATCGAGCTGAAGTATCCTAGAATCCTCGCCCCAGCATCTGTCACTTGCCACCCACAGATAAATATTCATCCCTTGCATAGATTTTTTTTTTTTTAGCACATCCCCCAGGGCTAGGGGATGGGTCCCTAAATGCGCAGCGAGGCTCAGGAAGCGTGATGCCCCAGAATTCATGGATTTCGCTCCAATTTTACCGTTTCCTCGCACACGGGTGAGCAACGGCACATCTCAACACCCCACCGACCGCTGCCAGCGCTATCTTGGGGAGCGATATTTTGCGTGACCGATGCACACATGTTGATGCGTGGGGCTTGGATGTAGGGTATGGCATGTGGTGGCCAGCGCTGCTGTCCCGGTCCCCACCGCTGCCATCCTGGCTTGTCACCCCGGTCCCGTCCCCCTCCATGCCGGGTGCTCAGCCTGCCCCGTGCACACGCATGCACGCTTCCCCCACATGCAGCTTGCCGAGCTCGCACCTCCCACGCGCACACACTCATCGCCATGCACACACGCCTCTCCTCCCCACGCCGCGACGCCGCTGCACCCCTCCGCTCGCATCCCTGCACGCGCGTGGGGTCTGCCCCCAGCCCCGCGCCAGCGCTCCCCTGGCCCGTGCACGCACCGGATGGGTGCAAACCGCCTTCCCTGAGCCGTGTGGGTGCACGTCCATCGATGCAAACCTATTGCACAGAGCTCAGAGAAGCAAATCCAGCCTCGCTGTTCCCCTCGCAGCCTGCACTTTGCCAAATCTCCCTGGCACCGAGCACACCCAGCCCATGGTCCTGCACCTGCAGCACATGTGTGCACCGGTCTGTCTTTTCCCTTCATGCATGCACTCACTCAGACCCCCCCAAAAAACCACGACACTGCTGGCATGTCTTTATCCTTCTGCTAAAAATCCCTGCCACCTCCTGTCCCCATGCAGAGACACCCCGATATTACATAAACCGGGCTTCTGGGGATGGCTTCGCTGGGATGCTGGAGCTGCACAACCCGTTTGCTGGGTCTGGTTCAGAGCAGGAGCAGGATTTGCACCTTTGCTTGAGGCGAAAGGGGCTGAATCCACCTGGATCAGCACCCACGGGAGCTGGAGGTGCTGCCGTGCCCTTGCTGGAGCTGGTGGAAGCTCTCTGGAGCGGAGGGTTGGGGACCTCCTCCCGCTGGAGAACCTCTCCCGAGCAGGGCTGGAGAGCAGGAGGCATCTCAGCGGGTTCCTGCCTTCCTGTAGCTCCATTCGGGAATACTCAGTGATTGCACCCTGGGGAGGGTTCGAGTTGTAGCTGAGGCTTGTCCTGGAAATCTTGGAGCTGTGCATTGGGTTTGGGTTCAGCTGAAACCACGGGTGTGGGGGGGATGCCGTGGGGTGGATGAAAGAAGCCCCAAATCTCCTTTTGCCCTTTCCATCCCTCCCAAAGCTGTTTTTCTCCTCCTTCCACCTCTCCCCAGCTGAAAGCATTCGGGATCTGAGATGGGACAGGGGCTCAGGGAGGGGACTGTTTCTCAGGAGGGCTACCCCGAACCAGCCGGGCAGTCGCATCGCGGCGTTCGTCTTGTGTAATCCTGCGTGCCCACTCACCTCCGTGAATCATCCCTTGGATAGGTGAGGGAAATATAATTAGTGTTTGCATTGTTAGCACCGTGTGAGTAGGCAAGTGGGTTTTCTAGGCCCCCAGCAAGCGATGGGGAGAGGGACGCGGTGCGGTGGGAGCCGTCGGCGTGGGCTTTCTCGCAGCCCGTCCCAGCGGCTCCGTGCCCAGCGTCCCCCAGCTCTGTGGTGGCACTGGTGACACCCCCAGCACCTCTCATAGCAGTGGCACCGGGAACTACCCACCAAATGGCTTTGAAGTGGTTGAGGAGATGAGAAACATGAAATATGGTGTGGCTGCCCCATCCCTGGAGGGGTTCAAGGCCAGGCTGGATGAGGCTTTGGGCAACCTGGGCTAGTGGGAGGTGTCCCTGCCCATGGCAGGGGGTGGCACTGGATGGGCTTTAAGGGCCCTTCCAGCCCAAACCATCCTGGGATTCTATATTTTGCAAAAGCAGACCCCTGGCCAGCGTAAAGGGCTTCTCTGGGGGGATGGACCAGGGACACTGGGGGGACCTGCCTGGCCGGGAAGGGGACGCAGCCCCCTCGCCTGAGCCCAGAAGTGGTTTTGGATGAACCACCGCCAGCGGCATCACCGAGGGCTGTCTCGTGCCTCTCTCTGTACTGGGGTTTTTCACGGGTTCCTCTCCAGCTGCGGGGAACTCAGCAGCGAGGGCAGATTTCCGTGTGGTCTATTCATAGCATGGATGCCAGAGTTACCTTAAAAGTATCAGCTCCGGGCTTATTTTGCTACCGGGAAGGAATTGTTGATGGACTTTGAATAGTGGGCGTAAACAGGCAAATACAAATGTGCCCTGATCCCGATCCGCCCAGTTCCTGCAGAACCCTACACAGTCCTAATAACCCCCTCCAAGGACCTGCTAGTTAGAAAAATAAAAGCAATGAACTTTGTTTATGAAGCATCTTGGTGTCTAGCTTTGGTACCGAAGCTGCTTGCAATGTGACAGCAGTTCTGGGAGAGCGATCACCGAACCATCAGGACCCGTGGAACACGGGAAAATGAATCAAAATACTGAACGAAGATTCTGACCGGTGTCATTAAAAATAGATGATATGAACTCATGGTCATTACTTATCTC